CTAAGAATCGTGGCAATGAAATTATTTCATTATTGTAGTTACTCATGGGAGTTTGGGAGAATTGTGACATAGCTTGGTAGGAAATTTGCCTTTGGAGAGTTTTTGTTTATTATTTTTTTTACAATCGACTGTGTTGGTATGTATGTGTATAACCCTGCCTTGAAGTTTTTTTTTTTTTTTTTTTGAAAATTTGCTTGTACTAAACTATAGTCTTGAAGATCATAATATGAAAATTATGTACCGAAAAAAAAATGACAAGTTTACCTGTAAAGAAAGCAAAAAATTGACGGAGTCAAAAATACACTCAATGTCCATCTTTTCTCCAACAAGTTCAGGGGGCATCGTTGATAAGATTAAGTAGCACTTAATAGTGAATAAAAAAAATGTAGAGTTAATAATGTAATACATATATGAAAATTAAACCACCCCTTCATTCTTTCAAAAAAAAAAAAAAAAAACCCTTCAAAATTTTAATATACTTGATGCACATAGGGTAATTTTTTGTTCATTTGATAAATCTTTACTTACTCCCTCCATGTTTTAATAAGTATTGGACTTTGACCGACACATAGTTTAATACAATTTAATTGACTTAAATAAAATAAGAGACAAGTGAGGTAATTAGAGTATTCAAAAATTGTTAAAGAAAGATAGTGGGGTTAATAGTTTATTGAAAAATAATGAATGTGAGAGGAAAGAAATAATAAAAAAAAAGTAGTGGGTTTGGGTGGAGAGTGGAGACCATGAAAGATGAAAGATATGATACTCCCCCAATTTTTTTTTATTTATTTTTTTTTTATTTATTTTTTTTAGGCTAGAGTTGAGATTTTCCACTATTCATATATCATCATTGACTTAATTTTTTTTATCAATATATATTATATAAATATGATCGTATAATATGTTGTTGGATTTGTCATAATGTCTACTTTTATAAATTAATTTTTTTAAGGCCAAATTAGAAAATAACACCTGCAAAAAGACCCGATTTTGGTTATAACACCTTAACATTTCGAAATTTTATTATAACACCTACAAAAATCCCAAAATTTTGGTTTCACCACCCACTAACGGATTTTTGGATGGAAACCGTTAGTGGGACCCACTAGGGACACGTGTCAGTTGTTTATTGGCTTAAAAATAAAAATTAATAAAAATTAAAATTAAAAAAAAAAAACACCTAAACTCTAACCCAGCCACCAGCCCCACCACCGCCGACCGTCACTACACCGCCGGAGACCCCCCACTGTCGTTGGATTCCATTCCTTCTCCGGCGAAACCACCGGCCGTCACCCCCACCAACATCAGCCCCCCCGTAAATCCCCTTCCCCCTTCCTTCTCCCCGAAAAATCACCCCAACCCACCACAACCCTCCACGAAAACCACTTAGCCCCTTCGCCTCTTTCAGACCCACAACCAAACCACCGTCAACAACCGCTACAAGCACCAATCGAAATTTCGCAAGTGGTTCTCCATCAATTTCAGGCGTCAAACGGGAAGTTGTCTTAGCCAAATTCCGGTGGTGTTGCTTCGCAAAAACCGGCTGAAATCGCTGCGAAATTCAGCAGATTCGCAGGTGGTTCTCCGTCAATTCGCAGGTGGTTGTTCGGAAGATTTCGTGGCTCAAGAAACGGGCTGAAATCCTGCAGAATCCGGTGAGTTTCGTCGGTGAAGTTCCGGCGATTTCACTGCTCAGGAAACCGTCAATTGCAAGCGTTAATCCGGAAGGTTTTTCGCTGCTCAACTTCAGGGCTGGGCTGGGCCTGGTATCGCCGGATTATGCGAGGGCAGGTGATGCCGGCGGCTGGGTAGGTGGTGCCAATGGTGGGGCTGGCTGGGTTAGGGGGTTAGGGTTTTTTTTTTTTTTTTTCTTTTTTTTAAGCCAATACACAGCTGACACGTGTCCCTAGTGGGTCCCACTAACGGTTTCCATCCAAAAATCCGTTAGTGGGTGGTGAAACCAAAATTTTGGGATTTTTGTAGGTGTTATAATAAAATTTCGAAATGTTAAGGTGTTATAACCAAAATCGGGTCTTTTTACAGGTGTTATTTTCTAATTTGGCCTTTTTTTAATAATTTTTACTAATCTCTCATTAAAAATATTGATGGTCAAAGTTGTGTCTCGGCAAATGTGCAAATTTGACTCTAGCTTAAAAAAAAAAGGGAGTATTAAAATGTAATTTTTTACCAAAAAAGGAAGTATAACACTTATTAAAACACGGCCACATTTAGTAAGTGTAACACTTGTTAAAACACAGAAAGAGTATATAAATTTGAAATTGGACTAAAATATTAAATGAGCGAAAAAATACTCTTAAATATACTTTTTTCCTATGCACCTGTTAAATGCAAGAATTGAAAATTACCTAACCCCTTGGTCTAGATTATTTCGAAATATTTTATTTGATTATTTCATCCTCACACAAATAAACAAATAATGGTAATTCTACATGTAGCTCTTACGGCTAAGAATAAGTATTTAATATATTTTCTAATTTGTTATTAATAATTTAAGAATGCATGACAAGATCATGAGCAAATTAGTGTACTTAATGTTATATTTTCATTTGTTTCCCCCCTCCCATTTTTAGCACCTTATATGTATAGTAGCATTAAGAGCTTTGTATAACATTTTCCATAAATAAATAGTCTACCCACTAGTACATAATTGAGTTTATGTAACACATTTTTGGTAACACTTTTTGAAATGCAAAATTATAGATTTATAAGTAACACTTTGGTAACACTTTTATATAAGATAACACTTAAAGTAACACTTTTAAGGTAGGTAACACTACAAAGTAACACTTTTAAAATAAGTAACATTTAATGGTAACACTAATTTATTTATTTAGTTATTTATTCAATTTCTCCACGGTTTTCTTAGAATTAACCTGGTTTTCATCACTCTTAAAAAAAAAAACAAAAAAGACTTTCCCGCTTTTTTCATTCACTCTTCTTCTTATTTCTCCTATGTCAAGATGATGGTTCGAACTTTGAAGGCAGATAATCAAGGGAATCTACAACTTAACAATGGTGGTCGAACTACCTTTCCTCTCCCTTTTTTCTCTCTCTTATCGAACACTTCAATTTCTAAGGTTCTTCATTTTGAACGCTGATTCTATCCCCAGTTTGTCTCCTTGACAGTTTAGGGTTCCTTGCAGTTTGGAAAGTTTGCTCTGATCTACCGACGCACCGCTGAAACGCTGCACCATGGAATCGCCGCAACTATAAACGTCGCGCCACCACTGCACTCCAGGTAGGCTTTCGAATTTTTCTTCTCCTGCAATAATTTGGATCGAATTAATCTTTTTAATAGTTGTTCTTGTTAATCGATTTATTTAATTAAATTGTACTCATTAGTAATAATTTAATTATATAACGCGCCTTCTTCTTCTCCATTTTCTGCTGAACATTTTTGCTGAATATCTTCTCCATTTTTGCTCAGCCCTCTCCAGCCTTCTCTCTCCTAAAAATATTTTAAGCTCAAGAGTTTTTGTTCTGCACTCCATTGAAGAAGCTAGAACGAAACCCTAATTAGTAGAACCGAGTTTTGTTCTCTATTTCTGGGTTTCCTCACAAAGAACCCAGTTTTGCGTTTTGTTCTAATCTACGTTTTCCTCACAAAGAACCCCAATTCTCCTCCATTTCCGAGTTTTTGTTCAATTTTTGGTTTTCCTTACAAAGAACCCAATTTGTGGCGACATTGGAATTTCCAACAGATTTGGGGATTGTTCAATTCGTTCAGGTAATTTTATAATGTTTAGAGGTATTTCTAATTACGGTTCTAAATAGGGGTTTTCATGAAATTTTACATAAAATTAGTTAGGTTTTCATGAATTCAGTGTTCATCAGTTTGATTTATTGCCGTGATTCCATTTCTACTGCTCGCACCGGCCACCTCTGTGATGCATGCAAATGGCGTCGTCTCTTTCTCTTCTCCTCTCATTGAAGTCTTATTCTAAATCCTCCATTGAATCCTTTCCTCTTCTTCTGTCATTTCTGAATTCATCGAGTATCAATTTCACAACCTAGGTAAATCTACTTTATTCTTTTTTTTCTTTAAAATCATCGACTGTCAATTTCACAATCTAGGGATTGCTTTTGATTGAATTTTTATCATTTCCATTTTTGGGTTAGTATCATGACTATCAATTTCGTGAATTTGCTGCAATAAAAAAAACGATCATTAAAGCAAAAAAAAAAGTCATTTTTGGGTTAATTTTTTTTCGTAAATTTGCTGCTTCTGGCTTGTTCTAGTTTTTAATTATTTTAAGTGAAACTAAATTTGTTTATTTTGTTTGGAGTTAATATCAATTTGCTTGGCTTCTGATTTTTATCAATTTACTATAGCTTCGTATGGTGAATATTTCGACTTGAGTCGTGAAAATTCTCTCTGATTCATTCCATGTTGAATCTATTTTTATTATCATTGCAGGCTTTGCAAGATAAAAATTGAAGGGACAATTTGCTGTTAAAGAAGAGTTGTATAAACGCTCTGCAAATACAACAGCAAATGTTGAAAAGGTCACCTTTCGAATCCTTTTATGTACTGTAACTCTTCCCCACTTATATTATTATTAGGATTTTAGTTATGTTTTATAAATGTTCTTTCTTTTTATGGTTTCTAAACACATTATGCAGAACTAAATTCCACTGTAAAGATTGTTATAGCCTTGTAGACCTTGATAAATAGTGATAAGAACATGTAATATACAAGTAGGGGCATTTGGGTATTGATATGTATTGTAAGTATACAATCCTGAGCACATCCCTGAAACTATCTGTTGCTGAAATCAAAAAGATTTTCACGAAATTTAAAAGTACTTGAAGAATGCTTTCATGACAGAGATGAAAAAGATAGACAAGCATTGTAAATTTATTTTGGCCCCGTATTTTGAAAGGTACGTCCTAGCTAGCTTTGTCATTATTAATTATCGTATTTACTAATTTCACAAAGAAATTTACGTTAACAAGATATATACTTAATTGTAGGGACCACTGGGTTTTGTATGAAATTGATCCACATATGAGCCTTGTGTACGAGTTTGACCCTGCTATTCAACCGGAGAAGAAACCTCAAAATTCAGAATTGTCCAAAATAATGAGCTTGTTAATTGGAAAATTCTAGAATGATTTGTTTTAACAACATTAATTAAGTACTTTATTATTCTCATTTTGTTTTAATTTTTTTTGTAGGCCGTACAATATATATAGGTCACATCTTAAAGGCATTGCGTTTAAAAAGAGTAAACCGGAATTGTTGCACTTAAGAATGGAGGTACATATGTGTTTGCCCATTTCCTAGCAATTTTTCGTATAATATATCTAATGTTATATTTCCATGTATTAGTGTGCACAACAGCCAAGAGATACTGATTCCGGATACTATGTGATGAGATACATGTATGAAATCATTTCTACATACCGTGAATGCAAAGGAAATTTGAAAGAGGTCAGTTAATTTACCCCTTTTAATGAATATATGTTGACAGTATGGTGCAAACAATCTCATATGTTTTTGTCTCTGTTGTGCTGTTATCTTTCTCGATTGTTTCTTGCTTTACTTTGTTGATTGTCTTGCATCTTGGTGGAATGTGGCTGTTGCTTGAAGTGCTTGAACCTTTGTTGATCTAAATTTTAGAATGATCAGGAAAGGGTTGTTATAAGTTGTAATATGGTCTATTATTCCAACTTATAAGCTGTAATATTAAGTTGTTTCCTTATAGCTGGCTTCTTTAGCAAGTATATGTCCTTAGGTTTTGATGCTTCTGCTGCTCTTGCCTGTTGTTGCTGTTCCGCTTATGTGCTCCTGCTGTTCTGCATATGTGCTGCTACTGTTGCCTGCTGCTACTGTTCTGCTTATGTGATGATGCTGCTGCTGTTCTGTTTCCGAGCTGCTGTTGTTCTGTTTCCGAGCTGCTGCTGTTCCGTTTCCGAGCTGTTGTTGTTCCGTTTCCAAGCTGCTGCTGTTTTGTATATTGTAATTTTTTATTGTATGAAATTGTAATATTACAAGCATTTATTAATAAAAATATCTAAGTATATATATATATAATGATTTATCAATTTTACTTTTATTAGGCATAAAAGGCACCGATTCAAGGGAAAATCGGTGCCCTTAATTTATGTTAAGGGCACTGGTTTGAACCGGTGCCCTAAGTCAGGCTTTGAACTAGTGCCGATTACACTTTTTCTACTAGTGAATAATTAAACGTTACCATTTAATTAACAAGGTGCTACATTAGTTTGCAAAAAGTGATACATAATATCGAATATGGTGATACTATATGTCAAATGATGATTGAAAAATGTTACTTAATAATCAACGAGGTGTTACATTAGTTCGTAAAAGTGATACACAATGTCGGATAAAGTGTTACTATATGATTGAAAAATGATACTAAAGATAAGTAAGTGTTACCTAAGAACTAAAAAGTAACACTTTAAAAGTGATACCTATAATATAAAAAGTGTTACATAAGAGAGTTTATAGTAACACTTTAAAAAATGTTACTATACTTTACACAAAGTGTTACATGAGACCTTAGGTAACATGGGCAGATGTATCACCCACTAAAGTGTTACCTATTGTCTATAATAACACTTTTATCACTTTATGTAACACTTTGTGGGTGTTACTTAAGGTTGTACCTTAAGGCTGTCAGCAGTGCAATCAGAAACTTGCCAACCTTGATCTCGATCAGAGAAAGCCCAAGCTCCTTTCGAGATGTGTCGATACATACTCCTGAAGTCTCCCGATGGATTGTCCTTTATCTACATTTTAACCAACGTTTTAGCTATATAGTACTTTTTTTTTACTGACCATATCAATATTAGTATATTACTATTACGGCACAATATTCACACTAGTATTTGGTCATATATTGTGAGTATATATAATTTTCATGTAAGATAAATATATATAGTCATGTAAAATCTTGTTGAATTTTTTCTATTTAAAGATGTGTACCACTTGTGACTCTTTGATGTAAGTGAGCTTTCTTTAAAGCAGGTCCAATTTCATCAAGACCTAGATTTGAAGCTAATAATGCTTGAATAGATAATCCACAATCCCATTGTTGGCTCCCAATACCCTATTTTTTTTCAATAAAAAATATGTTGTTATGATTATATCTTGAATAGAATTAATAATTTTGTGATAAAATATATGTCGCATGGATTTAACCTAAAGAGAAATTTTACATGCACTTTTAATCCATCCTCCGTTATCCAAATATAATCAAGAATTCTAGCAAGATGCTTCTTAAAATAATCTCCGTCGGGATCTTTCACCCAACATGCCATCATACATAACACCTGTAAACAAAAACGTATTACAATCAACATCGGTTAACCATAAAATGTGTGTAATCGCAATTATGTGATTGTATTTGTCAACTAGCTCAATTGGTTAATAAGATCTATAAGAGGTAATACCAAATAAGATCTATAAGAGGTAAGATATCTTTAACTAATTTACATAAAATTTACTATAGGATTTGCTTGAGAATATAATTGATGTTTACAATCATTAATAGTGCAGAAAACTACAAAGATACAAAGCTTACATACGAGTAAGATCTAGCCTATATTTAAATAGGTACTTTTTTGATTAAATATAATTATGAGTAATAATTAACAAGATTTGTACCCAAAAAACCGAGTACATGCACTAATGTCAGAAAAATATAATCAAAATGTTCAATAAATATTTTAAGGAATATATATCCCTTTAAAGTTCACAGTTTACACATATCTTTTGCGTTAAACATAAATAGTTTAAAACTTTCACAACTAATTTATGAGAAAAAACATCAAATTGTATTAAACTTAAATATTCATATAATCTTATTATTATACTATTAATCTTAGATATTTTATTAGTAAATATGTGGAGAATATTTTCATTTTGACAATCACAAAGTTTTCATAAACAATTCCTTACAAATATTAATGCTCACAATTTTATAATTTATGTACCACTGCAGTATAGAACTATATAGATTATGATTCTTATGACATATGATTAATAATAATAAGAATATATGACATGTTTATAAGATGAATTATGACTAACATTTATCTTTGATTCATATGAAAATTATCGATCAATATCAATATCTAAATATTCATGCATTAGATGTTATCGGTATATTTAATTGTATGACTATATGTGTAATAGTTCATGCTTAATTAGGGAAAAAGATACTGAGGGTAGAATAAAAAAATTTGTGATTTGAGGACAATAAATTGGTTAGTGTGACATAAAACATATACTATTATTAATTAGAAATTATACCTACTTGAGCAACTAGCTGTATGAAAAACACAAATTAGATTTTATACTCACTAGATCACTATTTGCGGTTACGGTGAAATGTTTGAGTATACTACACTTATACAAAATGTTATCTTTATATCTCTATTGAAACTATAAGTTTTTTTTTTTTTTTTTTAATTTCAAAATTGAAAATTTATTTATAAATGATTTGTAAACCATGCATGGCACGGGCACTATATTAGTATGCATAAAAATTTGAGTACAAAATAGACAAATATATTATAGACCTTATACAACAATAAAAGGTTTATAATAAATTTTGTCAATTTGTACTCAATTTTGTATGTCAAACCATGATAGAAAAAATACATTTCCTTGAATTTTATTAATAAAGTGCTAAATAAATTAAATTATCTTGATTGTTACATCAGTTAATTTTAAAATTTTGAATGATTCAATGTTGTTTACAAGTAAAAAGTACAAATTATATGGTCAAATAAATATCTTAGAAGAAACATCATTGTTTGACCGTCTAGCCAAAACGCGTACAAAATGTTAAATGCTTTTATAGTAGTTACTAATATATAACTACAAAAGTAGAAACTTGGGGCACGCAGCTGACTTATATATAAACCGTGCATCCACACATGATACTATACGTCTATACTCATATGTTTGTTTTCGTCCATTTATAATAAGATTTAAGAAATTTTGATTTTAACACAAAGCTGAAAATGGTTTTTGACACTAGGAAAAAAATTTATTTTTACGCCACAAAAAATTTATATGATGATACCTGTCCAGTATAAAGTAGACTCAACAAAGCCCATCCGGTCTGAACCAAATTGGACTTCCCATCAATTGGCACAAATTCCTATGATTTACCAATTTATAATAGTTAATTAAAGACTTTTTTTTTGATGGACAATTAAAGACTTAAATAAAGAATGAAAAAACTTTTAAAAAATTACTGAAAATTTCAAACTTTGCTACCAAGTGCAGACTATTAATAGCATCTCAAATGGTTATTAGTAAAGGCTTGTTTGCAATCATCAATACTATAAACTCCCTTCGATTTATTTTAAATGTATCAGTTTGAATTTTATACTATTTACATGTCATGTTTGACTTAATTTTTTTGCTATTATAAAACAAATAAATTTTATTATATAATATATCATTAGATTCATCACAATGTCTACTTTCATAATATAATTTTGTTATAATTTTTACTAATAGACAATTAAAGATATTAATGGTCAAAGTTACGTCTTGACAAATGTATCGGTCAAATGGATGCATTTAAAAAAAATAGAGGGAGTAATAAAATAAACATTAGAATTATCCCAAAAGTACAGTATACGTGTCGCGTCCACATTAAAAAATTTCCTGTCAAAAACTTTTTTTTTTCTTTTTTCTTCCCTTAAGAAATATTAAGATAATTTATCTTTAAAAAAATTCTAAATCCTAAACAACCCCCAAAAATAGAACAATAACAACTACTTTATAATTTTTTTTTCCTTACATTATAAATAAATAAGAAAAGTGATATAGCTGATTATAAAATATTAAAAACGACGAACAATGTAGAGTCATAGTAAATTAGTAATATTTTACCCTTCTATTTTCTGAATCAATTTAACTAAAATTTATTTTTCCAAATAGAAAATTACCAAACTAAAAAACTTTATTTTTAAATTAAGATTAGAAAATTTTCTATATAGATACTCTATATTAACGTGTCTCATTATAATAATTTGATAACACAAATAGAATTTTAAATGTATACAAAACCTATAAACAAATACAAACTTAGAGTAATTTATATATACTTCTTCTGTTCCACAAATATTGCAACAAGGATGAAATTACGCATCTCAGTGCACATTTTATATGCTAAATATCTATAATTATATAAGAGTAAAAATTATAAAAAGTTGATATTATGAAAGTATTTGACTAGACGAATCTAACAAGACCCCATATGACTATATTTTACTTTACGAATAAATCATAATATGTGATCAAACAAGCGTGATGAATAGCGTAAAAGTTCAGTTGTTGCAATATTACTAGAACGGAGGAAGTATAAAAAAAAATTTAGCAAATATCTGAGCGTTGCTCGGGCAAAGAACTAGTATAAATTAAATGTCTGGCTTCAAGTTTTTTGTTGTAGGACAAAAAATGAGCAACTTGTAAGCTACTGTAGCCCTGATTGAAAAAAAAATAACCAAACTCCACTCATATTGTAACATGTGTATAATTGATTTAATTTTTTTATACATTATTTTTTGTAAATTACAAGATGTTATAGCTCATCATTGGGATACTTTACACTTAAAAGTATATATAAAAAATTGATTTGCAATGTAAGTTGTAAGACATTGTAGCTTATCATTGAAGATGTTAACTCTTTAAAAGTAGGGGCGCGATTCCAGAAAATAAGATAAGGGTTTAGAACGGTAGAGCTAGCATGAGACAAAATCCAATTCGAATAATGGCCCTAGCCAATTACCAACCTAATTAAGCATAAAGGCTGCGACACCTTGTGACATACGATGCTAGCACACTGCACACTAAAGCCTTATCTATCTTCCTTGGGCTGTTCCGTGTGGTTTAAGAAAAAAATGTGAGGTCCACACATATGTGCAATGGACATATATAGTCCATCCAATTAATAACATGCTAATAAATATAGTATATAAATCTCACATTGACACTTGACAGTGATCTTTTACTAACAAAATGCGGCAATTAATAATTACTTCGCATTAATTATTGATTGATAGTGAACTTTTACTAACATGCGACAATTAATTTCAGATGTGGAAGTTTGATAAAATCTTTAAAGCAAGTCAACTTGTGACACTAACTATTCACCTTTTTGGGACACGAAACATAACTCTCACCACATCCACCTTCTTCCTTTTGTGCTTTAAGCAAAAATACGACACCCTTCCTAATAGCTAACACAATTATTGAACGTCTTTCCACCGGCTGCTAGCCCTCCAAGAGCAAACCATGTCCCATATATGAAGCATATCCCCCAATTTCCATACCCACAAAACATTTTGTGTCATTGATCATTTAATATTCATCTACAACTAAGAGCGCGTACATGGCATGCACAAACTACTATGTAATACATAAATGGTAGTATATGATAGAATTATGAGAAAGCGTATGTTAGGAAGCTTAATTATATTGATGAATATACACGAGTATATATAGTACAAGATTAGAACATTGAACATACCAAAATATGACTAGATACAATACATGACTAGGTACGTTAGCTAATTATAAGGGATATACTTAGACTATCAAAATTAAGGAGTAAATCAAGGGATTTACATATTCTAAACAATAACTAATAATGATAATGATGATATAATCATCTTTATCCTTTATACGCCCCCGCAAGACGGACGTTCGGAACAAGAGATCGATCTTAGATATAACATCTCAAATCTTGTTCAATGTAGGAATTGAAGTGGTGGTAAGAAAGGTTGCATTGCATTGTGATTCTCCAATAAGGTTTGGAGGGAGTGGAGCATTAGAAGGGAATTTTTTATTTTTTATTTTATTTATTTTAAGGAGATAAAGAGAAAGAAAGATTATTTTTTTTTTTTTTGGGTGGAGGAATTGCGTGAAGAAGTAAAAAGATAGTATATATAGAGAGAGAGAGAATAAGAAGTTGTTTGTGAATGGGTGTTTTTCACGGTTTTTAAACACATGAACCATTGATTGTAAAAATTAAAAAAATAAAAATAAAGAAATTTGCTACCGTATGCTTGCAACAAATGGGAGAAAAAAAAATATAGAGGTTCCTTCACCACCATTGAAGGCGAGATAGAATAATTATAATGGTGGTGCTGGTGCTGGTGGTTTAGAATGGAATGTTATGTTTCTCCATAATGGTTTTGGAGAGAGAATTTCATATATGGTATCACATGATAGGTAAACTACGGGATACCGAAAAAGGATTGTTTCTCTGTGTAAGGGGTTTGGAGGAAAAAAAATATTATAAATGGCATCTCTAGGTATATGAAATACGGGGTGCCAAAAGAGTTGAACGAAAAGTGTGATTTTGGTTTGAAGCTTTCCAAGAAGGAAGTTTGATATGGTCACCATCATTTGTCGGCGTTGGCAAAGGGTTTTGATAGTGTAACCATGGTAGTAGTGCAAGCAAGAAAATATGGATCAAAAGCTCTTGATACCATGATAGAGTTATGAGAAAGAGTATGTTAGAAAGCTTAATTATATTGATGAATATACAAGATTAAAACATTGAACATACCAAACTATGACTAGATACATTATATGACTAAGTACGTTAGCTAATTATAAGGGATATACTTAGACTATCAAAATTAAGGAGTAAAAAAAAATTGATAATTAGCATCTCTTGGTATATGAAATACGGGGTGCTAAAAATTGAGCGGAAGTTTGAGGTTTGAATCTTTCCGAGAAGGAAGTTTGATATGGTCACCATCATTTGTCGGCGTCGGCAAAGGATTTTAATGGTGTAGCCATGGAATAAGAGGACGTAGTAACGAAAGCAGGAAAAAATAAATGGATCAATAGGTCATGATACCATGATATAGAGTTGTGAGAAATAGAATGTTGGAAAGTTTAATTATATATTGAAGAGTATACGAGACTATTTATAGTATGTAAGTAAAACATATATGACTAGATACATTAGATTATATGTCTAGGTACATTAAACAATAATTAGGGAAATCTTTGACAATCAACCTAAATAAGTAAATCAAGGGATTTACATATTCTAAACAATAACTAATAATGATAATGATGATATAATCATCTTTATCCTTTAAGTATATACGTATATATGTTACATTAGAAGTCGTAACATACCATCCACCACTAGGATATTGGGTTCTCTCAATGTACTGGACTGCATTTACGATGAAATTGTCGATCTCTTTCTTCCTATGTCCTGGGTATAACTGTTTGAACATAACTAAAGCTTGAACTGCAGAAGCTGTAAATTTTACGTACCTATTATAAGAGTTCAATTTTGTTAATTGTTTACTCTTTGCAAAAAAATAATTAATAACATAATAAATGTCAGGCGGTGCACACGTATGTGCAATGGAGTACAATATAAAACCCACATTAACTATGAGCTTTAGCTAACAATGCGGCAAGTAATTCTAGACGTAAATACAAAGTGCTAGTACTTTATTTTGATAAAATCTTCGATGCAAGATGACTTGTGACAGATTCTCATATTGAAGTAAGATGATGAATGATATATACTTTCTTCGTTTTTTTTTTTTTTTTTTTTTTTTTAATAGCAAAAATATTTCATCAATTTAAAGTCATACGACATCTACAATAGAGAATCGATGTTAACAAATACATAAGATATTGAACCAAATAAAATTTTCCTTTATATGAACTACGATCATACATCTCCCGCTTATATCGCTGGAAAATACAGCCTTGATGGAGAGACAATCTAATGATCCTTTTAATTACTTGATCCGTTTTAACTTTATTTTACACAATTTAATATCTCTTCTTTGATTGTCTTTATTAAATTATATGTACTAGAAAAAATATATTCATAGAAATCTTGTTAAAACCGTTTTAATAAATACTATCATAATATATAATTTTTATAATATTTTATTTTATGAAGATTAAAGTTATTAATGGTTAAAGCTCTACATTGACATGCATGATAATTCAGGTCAAGTAAAAAAAAAAAAAAGATACTACTCACTCCATTTTTTTATTTTATTTTAAATAATACTCTGTACATCATTGAGTCTTCACAGTTTTCGAGGCATAACTTTAACCATCAATATATTAAATTAGATATTAGTAAAAATTATAAAAGAAAAAAAAAGTATATTATAAAATAGATATTGTAACAAATCCAACTATATATTACATGATTATGTTTATAAATTATATAGTAGTAAAAAAATTATGTCAAAGATAGTATATAAATAGTGCAAAATACTACACATTGTAACAAATCCAACTATATATTACATGATTATGTGTATTTGTTAGTTTTTGCTCCGGATCCCAAAAATCTACGAGACAACACTGCCACACTGGTACCATATACGAAGTATGCTCTAGTATTTCATGTGCACGTATCATTAATAAGACTAGTCTTCAATTTATTTATTTCATTAAGTACAGCTTTACATAATTACAACTCTAATATTTCATTTAAGTATTAGATAAAAACTTATTTTGGGACAAAATTATAGTAACAATTCTAGGTTGCTAGGAAATAATTAAAGTCGATTAGGAGGAGTTGATAGAAGGTAATGGAACACGCTTTCTGTACTCTGCAAGTGCCCACATTGGGTAAATACTTCTATACATTGGATAATGTAACATGCAATTCTTCATGAACACTCCTGTTATTTCCTGTTTTTAAAATCATAAGAGTAAATATAAGTAACAATGTTACATTACTACTAATATGTTTATCAGTTATTACGTAACTTTATCATCGAAACTAAATTAACGGGTTTCATAAGAGATTAGTAAAGTTACCTGCTGAGGAAAATCGCCATTTTCGAGTTGTGAATTGATCAAAAGCTTTGCTGCACGATGTAGAGGAGTTGGATCCCTCTCCTCCTGATGTAATTTAGGAAATATTTGTATAAATTAAAGTAATTTTATTTTAACAAACAACTAAAATCGAAAGTTAACAACTATAAAAATGGCAAATTAATGACTCTATATCAGTGACAGAAGCAGATTTTTTACATTTGGGTCAAAAAAAGCATGATAAGATTGTTATATACATTTGGGTGCAGAGTGCATCGATGATTATTTTGTTCTCATTTTGATAATTTTTTTTTCATTTAATCATCAAATAAAGAGCAAAAAATAACCTTGAATTAGTTGGATGCATAGTGCATTACAAAAATTTCATAGTGCATAAAAAATTTCACTAGGCTTGATGTACTAGTAAAGTTATGAAAAATACCTGTCCAGCATAAAGTAGACCCATTAAAGCCCATCCAGTTTGAACCAAATTAGATTTTCCTTCTATTGGGACAAATTCCTGTGGTTTACCAATCACAAATTATCAGTTATATATTAAATAGACAAAAAGAAAAACTTAATAGAAACGGAAGAAGTATTAAATTATTTTATCAATGCAAGTACATCGTATTACTCAAAGGGTTTAACATGATAGGGCCAGCATTTTGATAGTGTGGAACCCTATATGTCTTCTAAGTAGTAAATTTTAAATAATCAATGCGACAATCAATTCTAGACGTGACTACAAAGATAATTACCTTTTTGGGACACGAAATATAACTTTCACCCCATCCACCATCCTCTTTTTGCGTAGTAAGTAGAAAATCGACACCCTTCCTAACAGCAGCACAATTATTGTACGTTTTCCCACCAGCAGCTAGCCCTCCAAGAGCAAACCATGTCCCATATATGAAGCAAATTCCCCAATTTCCATACCTACAAAACAATTGTGATATAAATCAGATTAAATTTATCAATAAAAACGCGTACACAACTTGTACAAACGGCATAGATATGTTATTTTAGAACATAGAAATTATAACATACCATCCTCCACTAGGAAACTGGGTCTTCTCAAGGTACCGGACTGCATTTACGACGAAATTATCGATCTCTTTCTTCCTGTGGCCTGGGTATAACTTCTTGAACATAACTAGAGCTTGAATTGCTGAAGCTGTACATTCTACGTACCTATTATATGAGTTCTTTTTGTTAGTTGTCTACTCATTAAATTAAATACTAGATTAGTGTCCATGTGATGTCCGGTAATAATAATTTTTTTTCCCATAATTAATTTGTGATATAATATAAGCATCAGGCAACTCATGTGGAATAAACAAATGCAATGCATATAAGAAAGATTAATAATATGGCAAAAATTATTAAAACTGCAATTGAGAAGAAAAAAAAAATTACTTTTGATTAGTTGTGCTGAAAATATTTTAAAATAATGTACATTATATTATATTAATGGTGCATGTTATTTCCAATAAAACTATACAATGTAGATGTCGTATGACTTTTTATAAATGAATTAATTTAGTCCCAAAATAAAAAATAAAAAAAAAACTATACAATGTACTTCCAAAAAATAAGCTAAGTAAATAATTTTTTTTACAAAAAAAAACTTAAAGCTGACATCATATAATTTATTAGTGAGAATTTTTTTTAATGATAGCTTGACATATGTCTAAAATGATCGATGTAAGCATGACTTGTTTTAGTAATAGTTAATAGATTTTTTGAAGGGAAAAAAATGTTATAAGTTGGCAAAATTATTACAGAAATATTTAACAGAAAACTCACTCAATTATTATTATTTCATAAGATTTCAAAGCAACACCATGAATAAAAATGTTTTTTTTTTTAATTTTTTTTATTGAACCCCACTATTGTACAAATATATAATAGTAATTTAAATGTTAATATTGTATTGTTGGCCCCATTATTTTATACTCTCCATCATATTTCAACCTTCTAAATTATTATATATAGCTTATTCTCCCTTAATTAAAAGGTCTCAAAATCTTGTGTAACTATTTTAAGTAAATAAAATACGAAATAAAAAGGAATACAATTATTATAAAGATAATATATAAGATTAGAAATAATGTATTATTATATTTGTATTATCCAAATATTCCAAAAATATAAGATTTTCGCTAAAAAGGGAGATCAGAGTTTTGGAGGGAAAAAACAGCACCAAAAATTGAAATGTCATTCCTGATGTCTGTTTTAATATTATGTTATTGATTAAAAACCATAATAATAATTCAGAAATTGTTAACACCAAGTAAAATGTTATATTACGAATAATACTCACTCATATTCAATGACAATGCCTTCAAAAAATTCTGTCGGGTTCAGAACCTGGAGATCGTACAAATATACTTATATTAAGGTCATATATATTAATTAACAATTGATTACTGTAACATTGTTAATACGTAAATTAGTACGTTGTAGTAAAATTGAATGGCTCACCTCCAACCATTCTTGAGCCCCTGCAGGTTCCCAAGCAGCAACCCCGCCATTTTTACTCTGAAAATAAATAGTTGATATTGTATTATTATTATTTATTTATTTTAATTTGGCTAGGAAAATTGAAATATGGCATAATAATAGATATCACTTCAACTAAAGATAGATTGACGAGGTGGTGTAACATATTTAGTTTTTGGCAGTGCAGGGGCGGAGCCAATTAAGGGACATGTGGGGACACTTGTCCCCCCATTTTCAAAAAAAAAAAAAAAAAAAAAAATATTAAAAAAAAAAAAAAAAAAAAAAAACTGAAAGAAACACGCTGAGACAGAAAGAAGAAGAAAAGAAATTGCAAAATTAAACCCCAACTTTCTCAATTCTCAATTTCTCTCTCTTCGAAGTTCGAAAGTTGGAGACTTGGAGTTCTCAGTCAGTCAGGCTTGTCAGCGGCACTTCGTCCGTTTGTCGGTTCGTTCGCGTCTTCTCCCATCCAGTGGCGGTGTCGGGTGTCTTGCTGTCTTCAGTCTTCCGCCCTTAATTGTCTCCGCCCCTGCTCCCGTCGCCGGTTTTGTTCACCCAAATCACCAGTTCGCGATTTGGAGTTCGACAGACGACAGTTCGTGTCGCCGGTGTGCGGTGTCGGTGTCGGGTGTCTTGCTGTCTTCGGTCTTCCGGTCTTTGCTAAACCCAATTCACCCAAATCAATGGAGGTATGTAAATCTGAATTTCAACTTATTACTTGTTTAATTGATGAAATTGTTGTATATATCAACTTATTACTTGTTAATCTTGTTTAATTTCGATTGAGAATTATTGTGGATTTGACGATTTGTCGTTTGTGGGTATTGAAGACGAATTTCAACTTATTACTTGTTTAATTGATGAAAGTGTTGTATATATCAACTTATTACTTGTTTAATTTCGATTGAGAATTATTGTGGATTTGTCATTTGTTGATTTGTGGGTATTGAAGTTTTGAACTTATTGAAAATTGAAATGTTTAGTCTTTGAATTATTGGTATTGAAAATTTGTTTTATAGTTTATTATTTTTTTCCCCTGTTTTTGTGAATTTAAATTATTGAAATGTATAGTTGAATTAGAAATTTAGAAATTAGAATCTTAGGTTTTGTTATTATGTAATGATGTGGTTGTGGAAATTGATATATAATTTTCAATTGAATTAGGTAATGTCAAAAGATTCACCAAATTCAAACAAATCCAAGACAACTAAACAACCCGATCTTCGACAATTCTTGTTTAAAGGTAGAATGCCTTCCGCTGTAGGCTATAAACCTACCCTTAGTACCGAAATGGGTACGTTACAGGAAAGAATTACTTCTACAAAAGAAGGTTCCATAACTTCGATTCAAGCAGTTTATGTACCTGCGGACGATTTGACCGAAACTCAATGAAAATGAGTCTAATAACTCACCTTCATTAAGCTCCCCTCAAAGTCAAGAAAATGGTATCGAAATGGCTGGTTCAAGTAATAGTAATGTACCATTAGAGGAAGATTCAGTGTACGATTTTGTCCCCCCAAGTTGAAAATCCTGGCTCCGCCACTGTGGCAGTGAATGGCGAAAATTTAGGAAAATATCTACTACGACAGCTAAGTTCTACTCTGCAATTACTCGAACTCTATATCAATATCAATCAATTTAATTTATCTCCGTTACATGTACACTTATAGATATTATGGAGTACTTCATTAAACATAGAGTTACAATAGCAATATATTCTTACCTGTAGAGAAAGCAAGAGATTGACGGAATCATATAATCGCTCAGGGTCCATCTTTTCTCCAACAATTTCCGGGGGCATTGTTGATAACATTAGACAACACTATATGACACAAAAGAAACCAAAGTTAATTGTATATATAATCAAACATAATAATGCATTATATTTCTCTTTAACAAATATACAATCTCTACTTGTACATTGTTCTTGTTTAAAGGCCTTACCTTTAGGCCTTCGGCGGTACAATCAGAGACTTGCCAACCGTGATCTTGGTCAGAGAAAGTCCATGATCCCTTCGAGATATGGCGGTGCATAGCTTTGAAGTCTCCCGACGGATTGTCCTTAACCTTATATACGCAATTATATAGCATTAGTTATACAACCTAACATTCTCTTTATTAGTGTTTATGAACAACATTTTATAACATTAGTCCTTAAAGTATTAATTTATGCACCATATACACATGAAACATTCACTTGTTAAGAAAAAATGAATACCTGTGACTCTTTAATAAAGAAGTGGCCTTTCTTAAGAGCAGGTCCGATTTCGTCGAGGCTAAGATTTGAAGCTAGCAATGCTTGGACGGAAAACCCACAATCCCATTCTTGACTTCCAAAACTCTGCAAATTTTTTTTATCACATATATTTAGGTTAGTAATGATCAATTTTCATAATTTTGGAGAATTTTGCAAGTACTTGTTTATTAATAAAACTTTCATTGATGATAAAATACCTGCATTTTTAATCCATCTTCGGCAATCCAAATGTAATCCTGGACTCTAGCAAGGTGTTTCTTGTAATGATCCCCTTTAGGATCTTCAACCCAACATGCTAACATACATAAAACCTACAAAATTCAAAGCAATTAGTAAATGTTTTATATCTTAAAGTACTAAATTAGTGTAATAATCCCATGCTACTTGTACATTATAAGCTTATTGATCGATACCTTCTCAACACATCCGATGGTTATGTAACGACTGTTCTCATCTTCGTAATGAATGTGTTCCATTGTAACCTCTAGTGCTTTCTTTCGAATCAACTTGTTGAAAGGCCAACGAGTAAGGAGTGGCTCCGTAAAGATGTAAAGAGCGTCCCACATTAAATCTTGAATCAATGGATGAGGGTAGTAGAGATCCTCCTGTTTGGTAATCATAATAATTATTCTAATTAGTGTACGTTTTAACAAAAATATCTATGAGTTAATCGAAATTATAAAGGCACAAGCTATATGAGCTTACCGGTGCACACAAATGGCGCATTTTCTTCCAACTAATTTGCTCAAATGGTTCGTTGTAGAGTTCTTCTCTAAGTTGTTTAATGAGAGGTGTAATTGGACCTATGAATCTCTTCCCATATAAATATGACATTGGCATATATACCATTCGACAATAACACCACATTTTTGCTGCATGATAACCAACATCAAATTTTAGTACCAAAATTTTCGAGAAATTAGCTTCTTTATATATATTTACTAGCATTAAACATAACACTTGTACAATATATCTACTAGGAAGTACGAAATTTTATACCAGGATACATAGGGAGAAAAGACGGAAGGATCCAGAACTCAGGCGGCATTGGATTACTTCCAGACCAATCAAACAAGCCGAGTATCTAAAATGATAGATATATATTAGTTTGTTACAATCACATTGGTTAATTACAAGTATTTAAAAATGTTCAAGTTATAACTTATGTGAAATTATGTTAAATGACTTACAGATAGCCAAGTTTTTCCCCAAGAAGGCATATGAGTAACGCTACCATGGTCAAGGATCCATTTACGAGCCCTAGGACAAGCGTTGTCATCGCCCTCATCAGGTCCGGTTCCAAGCATTCGCAAACAAATGTAGTTGAGTGCAGTGCAAAACATGGTACTGTGTCCTTCAATGTGCAATCCCCAACCTCCATCTTCATTCTATTATAATAAATTATTATATGATTAGTCCAATTTTTTCTTAGGAAAGTAAATTTATTTCCATGGTCAAACCTATTCAATTCAACATTGTAAAGAATATGAGTTAACCTGATGATAATAGATACTACGAAGAATCTCTCTGCGATGCTCTGGCCCGAAAACAGAATTCAGATCCCCTGTAATGTATAAGCAGAAAACCTGCATGACATTACATGTTTATGTAAATGTTATTAGTCTTATAACATTATAACTCTTGAAAACTTGGTTATAAAATGATGCAATTACATAAATGAGATGTGTATTGTTAAGGGACTAACCAAGGGAGGGAGGAAAAATTGAGGGCCAGCAATTTCAGCAGGCCAATGGCCTTGGTCAGACTGCAGGGCTGTGAATACATTCACTGCTCTTTTTAGTGTTGTCGTAGCAGTTTCGTATGTGATCTCCTCCCCTTCTTCCACCTTCACTTGAGGTATTGTTTGCTTGAAGTTTTTCTCCCTTAGGAACTATGGTTCAAATGATCAATCGCATAATTAGTGGTTATTAAAATAATTAATGTTCTAGCATAAATGCATAATGTTACATCGCTTTATTAAACTAAAAAATTTTGCATCTAATTTTTCTTTTTATCACTGTTGGACAAAATTATAACATGATTTTCTCACATTATACAAATTATTAAAGTTTAAAAATTAAAGGAGCATATATTCTCATCTCACACCACAAAAAGAATAAGATAGAAGAAAAAGAAATATCATACAAGGTCTTATGTTTCAACAACTTTTGTGTGCGGCTGGCCACACCGTGTGGCCAGCTGACACACACCAAGTAACCCTAACCGACGAGTAACCCCTGAGTAACCTATGATCGATCGAGTAACCCTTGATCGAGTAACCCCTGCCCGAGTGAGTAACTAACCCCTTACTGAGTGAGTAACCCCTGACCGACCGATGAATCCCTAACCGACCGATGAACCCCTGACCGACCAAATAACCCCTGACTGACTTAGTAACCCCTAACCGATCGAGTGAGTAACACCTATAGCACTAACAAAGTAACCTCTATAATGATTGGCCACACGATGTGACCTACCACATATAAAAGTTTGTGCTTATGCTTTCATGATAATCCTTTGTACATTTGTGTAACTATTGAAGTAAAACGAGATTTTGTTTTAGTGACAAATAAACGAGGTTTATGCATCTTCACGCGTTCAAATTGCTCGTCCTTCGTTATTACTCCCTCCGTCCCTTATTTTTTGCCCCATTATAAAAATATGGGTCAAATTTTTAAAACTTTGACCATGAATTCTCGTTAATCTATATGTGATAATATATTAATGTGGGATCTTGTTAGAATCGTCTCATTGTATAGTTTTTTTAATATAAAATTTTAATAATTTTACGCGTATAGAAATGGAGATACATACGTTTGAAGATGCATCTTAGAGACCGTGAAAAGTCAAATAGGACAAAAAATAAGGGACAAAGGAAGTAATGTCATTGTGACTTATCATTTGTATAGTAGTTGAGGACTAGATGTGCAATTGTTTTCAATTGAACGTAAATGTATATTATTATAATTATATTTGCGTACTTTTCTAGGTAGTAATTAAATATTTATATTTTGGATTTTCACTCTGATAATATTTTTCGATTTTATAATCTAGTAAAAAAAAAGAGCACATGTTGTTTAAACAAGTAATTGTACATACTACTTAGAAAAATATACGCATAAAACCATTCTCTTTTTAAAGTTTTCTTATTTGACATGTTCGAATTCGAATTTTCGTTAGTAGACTATAAAGTATAATCTATATAGTAGAGTGTATAGATTTAGATAGTCGTAAAAGACCGAATGTGCCCAACCTACCCACGAGGTGCGCGAGGGACATGTTATTAACCCCAATTTGTGAAATCCAACTACTAGTCTACCACATAATTTCTAATTTTTCAATAAAAATAATTTAATATTGATTTATGATTCCAACATGTACAATTAATTAATGGATAAAGTTATTAAAGTATCTTCCCATATCGAGTAATCTTGGTGCCCGTTGACTAAAATATAATTGGATGCTTTCAAATTTTGTGTTACTTAGCGTAAAATTATTAGATACGAAGTATATTATATCACTGTTTGGGAATTGTTGTTGCAACTTTTTAATTGAGTGTAATAAACTAAAATAAACTTGTGTTCAATTCAATCGGATTGATTTTTGCAGGGTCGATTAGCTGAGCTTTGTCATTCCCAAACATTATTAATAACAAAGTAACGTACGCCATAATAACAGAAAGTACCACTATTGGAATATTTGATTTGTTTAGACGGGTTGAAATTATGAAATTTTGATAGTGTGATTTTATTAAAATAATCCTCATCTCGCGTTTGGCATGTAATTGGAATAAGGGCTCGTACGACATTTTATGTTAGTGTGAAAAATCACCTTATTATATATTGCTCGCTCCCAAACTCTTATAAGTACTCTTTAGTAAATAATTTCTTACAACTAAACAAACACCACGATTAACATCTATAATAAAGCCTGCTAAACATACAATAGAGAAGTTCAATACTTTCGTTTATGAAGGAAACAGTCAATACCAACCACTTTACGTCTATTATAAAGCCTAGTGGTAAGGTTTGCATCTCACAATGAGGTTGTGGGATCAAACCCCACTAGAGGCATTTTGGGGTGAAGATTACCCTACCCCCCCTCCCCCTTCCCACTTCTAAAATGTCTAGCCCGTTAACCTAGGCCGGAAGTACCTGTGAGAGATTCCGGGCCGATAATTAAGGCCCTTCTCCTTACCCAAAAAAAAAAAAAAAAAAAAAAAACATTTTACGTCTACTTAAGTATCTCATGATTTTGCAAATGCTATGTAATAGTAAGGAGAAGTTTCTCATCACTTCAAAATTTCACAAACTTAATTAACCTTAAATCAACTTTTGAGTTAATTCAAAAAATTAAAAATAAAAATATCAACTTCCGAGCTTGATTTTAGCTGTAAGTTAAACTTACTACATGCCTTTTTAGTATTACTTGAACTATTAAACAAAGTAAATAATAAAGGTGAATATGATCTATAATAAAGGCAGGAAACAAACCTGAAGACGCCATATGAGATCACCACAAGGTTTAACTTTAAATCGATTGTTGTAGAAGTTACGACGTGCTTCCTCTACCTCCTCCCTCTCCTCAGGGGTGCCATAGTTTGGATCAAACTCCCAAGTTTGTCGCCCAACAAAGTTATTAGTGCTGTATAAATAAGGGTCGTTTGCACCTTCTCCAACTTTTAACCTCCACATTTTATAATCCCAACTTAGCACGTAGAGAAAATTTCCTGAGCAAAATTTATAAATGTGCAAATTCTCAAATTACGGGTCACAATTTCTGTGACCAAACTAATTGACAGTATAGCTGATTGATCAGCTCAAATTACTATGTATTGTAGCTGGCAAGTTTTTTGTTTTGTTGTGCTCAATTAGATATGGTAAGAGTAAAGTTGAATGACTTTTATATGAAAACTTTGATGTATAAATATGTGTGTGAAATATACAAGAAATTATGCATGCATAATTGCATATATTATATAATATGCTTGGTTGGTCCAATAGCTAAGTGGGAAAAGAGAAAATAATTTAATGAAATATTTATGTAGGAAGGACGAAAGTAGCGATATGATGAGGTTTATAATTTATCTCGCGCCCCTCGCTTTCCTCGTTGCTACGGAAGCTATCTACGTCTATGACGTTTTATTTTGTTGTCGAATTTATTGCCTATAATTGTGTGGATCCTCGACTCCTCATATATTGCTTGTAAACTGACTCGTATATGATTATTGAATTTTTACCACAAGTATAGAGTTATTAAAGTTTTATATATGATTATATGACTAAACATGATATGAATTTGACTTATTAAAACGACTGTAAAGTACAGAGTAAATTTATTAAAACTAATGATGATAAACTAATTTGGATGTGCAGTTTTTTTAAATAAAACAACAAGATCATTACAAAGTAGAAATGAGTGAATTGAACCCGTGACCTATATATATAGTATACACACATCCTCAATATTTGTCACTAGGCACAAAATTAAATAGTACTCCCTCCATCCCATAATACATGAGACGTTGGACTTTTTTCACTATTCATGCACTAGATTTGACCATAATTTTTTACTAATATAATAAAAATATATTTTATCATAAAATATGATGTTAGATAGGTATTAATATAGAGTTTTATAATGTAATTTTTAAAATAATTTTAATTAATATTTAATTATATAAAAATAAAGTTAAACTAGTGCATTGACATGTGTGCAATGTTAACTGTGTCATATATTATGGGACAAAGGGAATACAAAAGTATTGTATATGATACAGAGTCATACCAAATTGAATGACTCGTAAATCAACTTTATGACCTGAACCTAAACCTGGCAAATGGGTTATTCGGGTCGGGTCTGGGTCGGGTCACTTTCAGGTCGGCTAACATTCGGGTCGGGTCGGGTTTCGGGTCAGGTATCGGGTCATATTCGGGTCAGGTCAAAATCTGGTCGGGTCATGTTTTTATTTGAATATAGAATTGACTATAGAATCAAATCCCATCCAACAGCACATTTAGCACCTTAGGTGTATGGCGAAATCCCTTGAATCATTGTTTTTATTTCGTTTTCTTAATTAAAAGAAAGAAAGAAACATTTTCCTACTTTTTAGATGGGTATTCAAGTTTATGTAGACAATAAAAAGAAACATTAATTCTTCTTGTATCTAGTTACTATTCTACCCATCATCTTCAACCTTAGACAACTCCATCAAGCAGCGCCACTATGCACAGCAACAACCACCACCACCACCACAACAGTGGTTAACAGACCACAGCTCACGGAGGCAACTACTCAGCGTCAAAGAGGGAAGAAAAGAAAGACAGAGAATAATGGGGTTTTAATTTGGTATGTTCAAACATAAAAAAAAAAAAAAAAAAAAAAAAAAAAACTACAGTCGATGATAATTTGATGATGGAATATTAATTTGTTAGCAATTTATGAAATTAAAATGAGAAAATGAGAGAGTCAGGGGGAAGAGCGAAGAAACTGCTAAAAAAAATGGAGGTTTAGAGTCTTTTGGAGAGAGAGAATGGTGTGGGTTGGGGTTGGTTGAGGATGATTAAAAGGGCAATATAATAAATATGTTGTTTTTCTGTATCACTTCCCTGCGTTTTATCCCTTTTCTATATCCTATCAACCAAACAAGGGGTAGAGATAAAATAAATTTAATCTCACTTATTTAGTTCCTACCTTTATCCTTCCTATTTATCCCTCTTTATCCTATTCCTCCTATCAAATGCCCCGTTAACATAGTATTATTCTTTATACTTTACCCTCTTATCTATAATTAGAGGTGTCAATTTGAGTAACTGGATTGATTTAGATTTGAGCTAGTTCGATTTCGAGACGTGTTAAATCATCTTGCCTTATAAATTTAAATCTAGATTGGGTTGTATTTGGGTCTGATTTGGTTAGTTTTTGAAGCCTCAATCTATAATCCTTTGTTATTAGCATTGTATGTAAATATGTAACTGGTTATCCTAACTAGGGGTGCTAATCGAGTGAGTAGATAACGAGTTAAGGGGTGCTCGACTCAACTTGAAAACTTTTTCATGTGCTCAACTCATGCTTGTTAAAGTTTCGAGCCAATAAAATCTGCTCGACTCGTGCTCGTTAAAGTTTTGAGTCGAATCGAGTAGCTCACGATCTGTTCGTTAAAGTTTTGGTCCTTTTAAAATTATAGGCCTTTATTGTTTTTTTTTCACTTTAAATAGTTTTTTTTATTTATTTTATTTATTATAAAGATTTACTCTTTCTTTTTTGATGATATATATTAACTCTTATTAAGTTTCAAATTTGTTCATGGTAATAACTTTGTTTGTAAATTCTATATTAATAAAATATATTATCGAGTTGCTCACGAGTTTATCGAGTCGAGTTAGAACTTGCTCAACTTGTGCTCGTTAACATCTTGAGTCGAGTTGAGCCAATTCAAGGTGAGTTTTGACCGAGCTTTGACCGAGTCGAGTCCGAGTTGCTCACGAGCTGCTCAACTCGATTAGCACCCTTAATCCTAACTGATCTTGAAAAATAGGAAGTGAATAACCAGATGAAATTATATTTAGGGAACATCACATAATTTGTGTGAAATATAATGTGAAGTATGTTATTACGTAAAGAGATAGGTGTAAAGGTAGTCATAACCTCAAGGACTATAATAATGTTATTTCCACCGTTTCTTATTGTTTTTCCTACTTTGAGTCTGCCTAATTTTATTTTGCGAAAAGATTCCAAGTAGGTAGAACAATATGAAACGGGATACCGAGTACATATTATGAACTTCACCACCGGTTCAACCAACATCAGATTTATCTATATATTTAGTGTAAGTTACCTTTACATTCAATTCACTACCAAAACAAGGCTGAAACTAAATGCACAACTATCGTGTGTAGAAGAAATTAGAACAAAATTCATAATCCAATGTACTAGCATCTTAAATTTAAAACAGAAACTAAAAAGAAAATACGTGAAGGGAAAAAAGGAACATTTTGTACACTCAATATAGTCTAAAAATATTTTAAAGGAACAGCTAGTAATCAAAGTCATCTATCCCTCGATTGCTCATGCTGGGGCGTCTAACTAACCGATGTAACGATTGCACCACCTCTGACATTGGTGGCCGAAATTCTGGCTCCGTCTACAAAATACCAAGATAAAATATGAAGTTAATGGAAATAGGCTATGAATGCAATGCCATTGCAATAAAAGCTTCAAGTTAGGAGGCATTGTATCCGCCCCAATGCCAGTAATAGGCCTTACCACAATTCTTAAATTTTGAAAAGGACATATAATGCTCACCTGTACACAGAGCGCAACAATATCAGCAAACCGAGAAATTGACTTGGGAGGGTAGAGGCCACGTAGTGCTGGATCAACCATTCTTTCAAGAGCGTCGATATCATGAAGCTGTGATAAGGCCCATTGGACAAGATATTGTTCTGCTGTTGGCTTTGTACTGTAAAGAAATGAAGGTAAAAATCAGCAAAGAGAATACAGTCTATGAAATTGAGGGTGGTATGGTTTGAAGTACAATAACAAAAGCAGCAAACCTGTCATAAGGCATTCGACCAGTCAACAGCTCAAGCATAACAACTCCAAAACTATAAACATCGCTCTTAAATGTATAAGCTGCACCATTTGTGCATTCTGGAGCACACCAGCCACCTCCAAGGTTTCCACTTGCATCCTAGAGTAATCAATTAGGAGGAAAAAGGATTAAAGGATTTTCAAAAAGGATATAAACAAAGAAAAAGAGAGAACCATGGAAACAAATGGATCAAAAACTTGAACTTTATCACGGCTGTGTTCAGTTATAAGGTTACAAAAGTTGCTTGATAAATGCTCACACCTATACAAGTCAAAATTTTTTTGAAAATTGACAATGGAAGCGCCTTTCTCTCCTCTGCCTAAGAGTCAAGATTTCTGAAAACTGAAAACTTACAACTCGCAGTAATAACGAACAAATTACGGAGAGCACAAATTCGACACCTTAAAATTTTGAATTCTCTTACAAGGAAACCCACTTTGTGCAACTATAATATCAGCCACAGATCAGAAATAATGAAAAATATCAGATTTATATCTACAGAGCAGATCAAGGTTCATCAATAATGGAAACAATGCAATCCTAGCAGGAAGATCTAGAAGCAATGACTAATATGAACGTATATAGTTGAAAACATTAGACTAGAATATAGTCTTTATAGCACCACCACAATTGCCAACCATTAGCAGCTTCTGACCTGATAAAAAGTTGCCAAACCACACTCCGTTAAACGAGGATTCAACTCCATATCAAGTAAAATGTTGGATGACTTGATACTCCTGTGAACCAGGGAGCAAGTTTCATGCAGGTACCTGTAAACTTGAAAAAATACATATTACACAAGGATGTAGATGGCAGCAGTAGAATGAATCTCCCTTTAAAAGGATGTCAAATTTAAATAATAAGTAGGAATAAAGATTTGCATGCAACTCCCTCAGCAGTGTAATAATGAATCAATTCGCATTCACTATTTCACTTATCACAAAAATTTGAACCATTATAATCAATAAGCATTTATCAAATCCGAGCATGCATATATATAAACAATACTTTGTACATTTCCAGCTAAAAATTCTTTCCAAGGAGCATGCAGCGAAGTAACATACTCAACAGCTCGTGCAGTTCCTAAAGCAATCTTCACCCTAGTATTCCAAGTAAGTGGTCTGCTGAATTCATCAGACAAGTGGAGATACTCATGAATCGAACCATTTCTAAAATACTCATACACCAGCATGTTATGTTTCTGCTCTGAACAATGTCCGGCAAGCTCGACAATATTTGGATGGTAAATCTTGGAGAGGCTTGAGATAATATCAGAAAACTTTTCATCTTGGCCATCTTGAAAGAACGCAGAGCTGATTTTTTTCACAACTATTACCTAGAAAACAAATCAAGACATACTCTGTAAGTCAACACAGTATAATCCTATAATGCTCATTATCATATAAAGCTGTAGTCAAAGCACCATAAG